GGACACTCTTGTGGGTCACTCTTACACGACACTCTTGTAGGACACTCCTTGTGGCACTTGTGGGACACTCTTGTAGGAAACTCTTGTGGGATACTCTTGTGGGACACTCTTGTGGGACACTCTTGTAGGACACTCTTGTGGGACACTCTTGTGGGATACTCTTGTGGGATACTCTTGTAGGACACTCTTGTGGGACACTCTTGTGTGACACTCTTGTAGGAAACTCTTGTGGGACACTCTTGTAGGACACTCTTGTGGGATACTCTTGTAGGACACTCTTGTGGGACACTCTTGTGACAGTCTTGTAGGAAACTCTTGTGGGACATGGGACACTCTTGTAGGACACTCTTGCCGGACATTCTTGTGGGACACTCTTATAGGACATTCTTGTGGGTCACTCTTATGGGACACTCTTGTCGGACATTCTTGTGGGACACTCTTGTGAGACACTCTTGCAGGACACTCTTGTGGGGCACTCTTGTGGGACACTCTTGTAGGACATTCTTGTAGGACACTCTTGTGGGACAATTTTGTGGGACACTCTTGTGGGACACTCTGGTGTGACACTCTTGTAGGAAACTCTTGTGGGACACTCTTGTGGGACACTCTTGTTGGACACTCTTGTAGGAAACTCTTGTGGGACACTCTTGTAGGACACTCTTGTGGGACACTCTTATAGGACACTCTTGTGGGACACTCTTGTGGGACACTCTTGTAGGACACACTTGTAGGACACTCTTGTGGGACGCTCTTGTGGGACACTCTTGTGGGACACTCTTGTGGGACACTCTTGTGGGACATTCTTGTGGGACACTCTTGTGGGACACTCTTGTAGGAAACTCTTATGGGACACTCTTGTAGGACACTCTTGTGGGACACTCTTATAGGACACTCTTGTGGGACACTCTTCTGGGACACTCTTGTAGGACCACTCTTGTGGGACACTCTTGTGGCACACTAGAAGCACTCCTGCGAGCGTTTGGTACGAGACGTCCTCCAAAAGTCACGCTTCGAGGCTGCGCAAGACGAGCGTTTCGTTCGAGACTTTCTCCAAAAGTCACGCGTCAAGTCTCCAAAACGAGCGCTTCGTACGAGACTTCCTCCAAAAGTCACACGTCAAGTCTCCAAAACGAGCGTTTCGTACGAGACTTCCTCCAAAAGTCACGTGTCAAGTCTCCAAAACGAGCGTTTCGTATGAGACTTCCTCCAAAACTCACGTGTCAAAGTCTGCAAAACGAGGATTTCGTACGAGACTTCCTCCAAAAGTCAAGCGGAAACACCCATCGGAGCACACACATCACGCAGCCCTGCCAAGCAGTTTCGCGAGTCCAGCCCCTCCAAACAATACCCCCTCACACGCCAGTCCCAATGTGACAGCGACATTCACCTCTACCACAACTCACGACCTCACGATTCCCTGCGCCTGCCACGATCTTTCCGCATCCACACGTTTAACGCGCACAAAGTACTGCGCCTGCCACGAAATGTCACCTCCGTCACACCTCGCAACCTCACGATTTCCTGCGCCTGCCACGAGAGTCGCACTTCCACACCTCAAAATCAGCACAAAGTACTGTGCCTGCCACGAAAAGTGAGAAGATCATCTCACGTGAGCTTCAACAAAATTTGCACCACACCACACGTTTAGAATGATTTCGACCCGTTCTGAGCACACTCCCATCCACCAAAGTCGCCATTTCAGCTGAGACTTGTCACGAAAACAGAGCTTCGATGCCACACCCTGAAACGCAAATCCCAATGGCACGGCCACATCCAACACCCCAAAAACACGACTCTCCAAACGCTAATCCCAATGGAACTGCGCAGTAAACTGCGGATCTCTCAAACCACTGCGCCTGTGCAGCGAAATGCATCACGCTTCTTGCGCGACATGTCATTTTCATGCAAATCACAATGGAATAGCGTCGCAAACTGACACGTGACACATCCATGAAAAGTCACTTACAAAAGCTTCCCCCAATGGCAGCGCCTTAGCGTCCTACTGCGAACGGTTGCGAACGGTTGCGAAGGGTTGCGAACGGTTGCGAACGGTTGCGAACGGTTGCGGACGGTTGCGAACATAGAAGCAACGGGTCGCGAACAAGACTCTACCCCAGACCCCCAGAGTTAAACGAGAACCCTTCGCTACGCATTCGGGAAAAAGAAGCAATGCCAACGGACTTTGCAGATTTGCTTGCTTTCACTTGTGGATTCAAGGTCTCGTGTCTCCTTCTTGGACTCGGCAATGCTGTGATTGATCCTGGGAAATATGTATACAAACTTCTTGGACTTGCGCCTTGAGATTCTGCCATTCAGTGAAGCGCAGGTGATCTCCAACTGGCTTGATGCCGTATTCTTGCGCATACCTCCGTTCGCCGTTTGCCAACACCAATTGTCACTTTTTTCGCGCCTCAAATTTCTAGTAGCAAGGATCTTTTTAGGTGGATGTCATCGCAAGTGGTTGGAGGCCATCGCTACTAGTAACAAGAAGCTACTATAAGCTACTAGTAACCAAGGGCCTCGCTACTAGGAGCAAGGACGCTACCAGTAGCTCCTGGCCTTACAACTAGTAAAAAGAAGCTACTAGCAACAAGGGCATTACTACTCACACTGACAGCGCCTGCAGGCACCTCTCCCAGGCAATGGGGCTTTGGAATAGCGGAAGGGCATGTACCTCATCGTCATCGCCCGTGATCGCACGGCAAAAATATTCAGCCAAGAATCACCAGAATGCGCATTACAATCATTACAACCAAAAAGTTTAGGTGGATAATTAATCAATAATGAAATAACTAACTAATGAGTTGCAAGAATCACATGTTCAACTGTTACTCCACGACAGGATATGAGGCAGTGGCTTGGTCTTCCGTTGACCAATGTTAACAATCTGAGTGTCAGCGGTTTCACATGCGTCAAACTCACCGCAAGTGGTGTGCAAAACTTGCCACAAGATTCACCTCACCGAGATTTTCATTTTGGTCTTCCTGCCAACTTTTGAGAATCTGAGCAACTAAACAAGCAATGCAGCAATGCAGTTTTGGCTCCTGCATTAGCTGTCGACCAGAATACATAGTCTCACCTCAAATGACGATAAGGCGGAGTTGACTACGATGTCCAGAATCGCGATAAGGCAAACAAGGTTTTTACATGGTATTAGAAGTCAAGTGAAGCTCCTTCTGAGTCTTGGACTGGTTGATGCAAAGAAAAGCTTTGAGAGGTTGCCTGATCAAATCTGTCAGGAAGTTCCAGACACTATTCCACAGCAAAGAAGTTGCACTGTTGAAAACTCTGGACATGAGCCATATTCCTTCCAAGCGCAAACATCCAAAGGAGAGGCTTCCCGGAAGAAAAGTTAAAGATTCGAACAATGTTGGACGTGGTTTGCCCCTCTGCCATCTATGATCATCTTTTTAAGGCCGTCTTTCTGGGCTTCAAGGGTGCACACGGTGCACACCATTCCAAGTGATCCAACCATGCCTTGTGATTGGGAGCGGAGAGCTCCTGAACCTGGAAAGAGTCCTGTCCTCAGGTGAAGCGGTGTCCGCTGTGTAGCTTTTTGGTTATTCTGTTGAGAACCGTTTTGGAATGGCTTGAACATGATAGCATTTTAACCTGCATGTGGCATAGTTGAATATCGTTGGTTCTTATCAATCAAAAGCACACAGTGAGGTTTGCCCCTTGACTTCCGAGAGCGGCTCGACGTGGAAAGAGGCATATCTTCCTAAGATCACGTTCTCAGATTCACAAGGCGGCGTGATGTGTCTACTTGGGAAGCGGCCAGAGAAGTTCAGGCAAGATCTATTCCATGCAGCGCACAACACGCTCTGCATGTGGTGATAAGAAATGCAATACAGTACTGTTTTAGTGCTGCGGCCATCTCAGTAGCACTGTTCATGGTCTTCAATACTTACAATATGTTTTTACAGTTTTTCGAACGAACAACTTTCTCATCTGAAATGCAAACCAGAACATTGATCTACAAAACATGCCAGGGGTTCTGAGCCAAATTGAAAATTCTGCCACAACAAACACTCTCCGTCTCTACGTGCTGCAGCAAACATGGATGAATTCGGCAACTTGTTGCAGAGCCCTGATTTAACAAGTGCATCGCTACTAGTAACAAGGGCATCGCTACTATATAGTAGCTATTGATGGCTCTTTTGCGTCAGCCGCTCAGGCGATGTTGAATCTTCCAGGCCACGTGGCCTCTTGTCTGAGAAGCGAGCATGGCTCGCCCCTGAAGATCGGTGAAGGCAAATCTTGGGCATATACAGACATAAGATGACATAAGTGACTGTGTCAAACTCAGAGTAGGAAGGTAATGGAAGTTCTTGGATGGAGAAGTGGCTTCGATGAAAAGGCCTTGGTCGATGGATCTGGATGCATCTTTGGAGCACGAAGCGGGTGGCTCTCCCCTTCGGTGATCACGAATGAAGGATGTGAAGGGTCAAGAGCCTTGCCATTTTCGTCGCAGGCAGCCTTGGCGACTCCGCCTAGTAGGCCGGTACGGGGGCGGCCCCTTTTTCTAGCAATGGCTCCAACCTACTAGCGATGGCCTCCACCCTTGGCGGCCTTCTCTTCTTTTTAGACATTCTCCATCTTGGCGCGGCTAAAAGGTCCAGCTCCTTTCGACAAGTCCTTCTTCATCGCTTCATGGCCTGGGCTAATGCGGCTTTCTGCTTCTCATCGCTGAGAGTCTGCCAAGACTGCTCACATTTCGATGCCAATGTCTTTGCCAAGTCTTTCAAGGAATCCACAGAAGCTAGACAATTCGGAGACTTTGCATTTTCCAATGCCTCTTTCGATCGTAGCTGTCGGAGCTCAAGGCGCAAACGATGCAAGGCTGAACGGTGCTCTTCTCTGGATTGTTCATGTGCTCGGGTTTTCATGGCTTCTAAGGCCCTTTCATCTGGATGCGAAGTCGCTTCTATTCGCCGGCCAAGCTCCAGCAGGTCTTCTTGCATTTCTTTCTCTCTCTGGTGTCTTTCAGTCGATATTTTTGCAAGGCAGTCCTTCGTTTGTTGCATGAGCTGCTTACACTCGGCGTCTGTAGCTAGTCGAGATTGGTGAATTTTGTCATTCACAGCCTGAAGCTCCATGGCTTTGGCTTTTGCATTCCCTTTCAGAAGGTCCAATTTCTTCTTGGCCGAGTGAAGCTCCGTTTCCGAGCGTGACTTTTGAGCTGCGATTTCTGCAGCAAGTTCCGAAACTCCACGAGCAACCGTGGCCAAGAGGTCTCCCCGCTGACAGTCAGACTTGGACATTTCCTGACGTTTCTGTTTCAGCTCAGAGCGGAGCCTGGCTTCCTCTTGGTCTTTCAGCTCTTGCTCAGACTCTAGGTGTTGTAGTGCTTGCAACGCCTCCTCTGCACTGGATGTGGCATTTATGAGGGGTGTTTGCTTCAGGCTGGCACATTGAACCTGCGCAAAGGCAAAAGGGCTTGTGCAGCTTCAAGCAAGGTTCACAAAACTTGAAAAAAATAACACAATCTTTGACCAGCCTCTATCTCTGTCTGCAGTCGTTGTAGGGAGTGCAAGCGATAGCGGCCTTCCTGCGCAGTCGCAGTATGCTTCGGAAGGATTGGAAAGACCGAGCCCCGAACATCCTGGTAGCGAAGATGGCACTGTTGGGTGCTGGCCTCAACCTCCAAAGCTTTCAACGTCGGCAATGAGATGACATGCCAGTGCTTTGCGGAAAACGTGTGTAAAGGTCAACACCTCAATTAGCGTTGTAAAAAAATACATGTACGGTATATTACTGTATATATATATAACTTTATAATGAATGTGTAAGGAGGCATCGAAGCAAATGTGTAAGGAGGCATCGAAGCAAAGACAAATGGACATCCATCGTCAACAACACAAAGAGCAGTAGCACTTGCAAAGCTCAATACGGTTGCACCTCCTCCACAACTCCATCAAGGTGATTGCGGGTTGCCTACGCGCTGCTTGAAAATCTCAAAGGCCAGCAGCAAGAAGTAACACAAAACTGGATGGCCTCCATTTGCAGACAGTCCTATCCCATCTTAAACAATTTGACCCGAAAACAACACAGCAGTCAGACTTGAGCTCCTCTTCCAACTCCAGCAGTGATTGCTCGGAAGTCATTAAAGAAGCTTTCAATTGCACCACCTGTGAAGTAGCACAGCAGGAAAGATAGAATTCATCAAATCAGAGCTGCACCCCTTAGTTCCCCTGAGACATGTTCTGAAGCTGGATTGCCACCTCTGCAACACTTGCACACTCCTCTGCACTATCAGATCTAGCAGCATCCTGCCACAAGCTGAGTCAAAATGTGAAGCGTCTTTGTTGGCTTCAGCTTCAGTGACCGTGTCTTCAGAGAAAAGGCCAAGAAGAAATGCTGGCCATAATTCCTTTTGCTATTAGGTTGGAGGTCATCGCAATTAGGTTCCTTGTGCACATCATGGGACAAGGCGCTGCCTGCAGCCGCAGGAGGGATTGACGGTGACGAAGTGCCAGGTCCTGGAGTATGTCCACCAAATCAAAGGCCCTTGAGTTGTTTTGGATAACATTGAAAAAAGCAAAGCAAAGCACCCCTCAAGCATGTAGTTGGAATATTCATTCAAGAACTGTACACACACTGTAGTACACTGTAGTTGGGCTACTGCTATCCAGGTCTAAATGGCCCTTTGCAAAGGGCAAGGGCAGTATGGGCTGGTTCTTTGTGTGTCCATAAGTCCATAAGTGTGGAAGTGCCTTCAATGTACCTGTTTGCCAAAGTACACAGCTGCAATTTGGAGTTCACTTTTCTCACCTGGTCCATCTCAGAACACGCAGAGACTGCTCTCGTGCGACACTTGCATCATGCCATCTACATGTCTACGTGGAAAGAAATATGCTCGTTTCTGATTATTCTACTTCATTCTACTTCTTTCTACCTGCTGCTCCGATTCGACTGTAGATCTGCGCAAGTCTGTGGGTCCGTACCCTCAGAGCTTCATGAAGTTCAGCCGAGCTGTCTCGCTCCTGATGTCAAGTGCGTCACAGGTCAACAAATACATCACTGGCATCAAGTCTCAACGTGTTCACAAAAGTTGATCTCTCAACGTCCCTCTCACTGGCTCTCACCTTCTGTGTCCGCAAGCCGTTGATCTCTCTGCGAAGGAGTTGCAATTCCTCAGCAAAGGCCATTTCGAAGGTTTCCACTCGACACAGATTGAAGCTCGAGGTCTTTTGGTGCCTCCTCGCGCTCCCTCAACAATGTAAGTACTCCTTCCAGCTCCTGCGGTACGAAAGCTAAGTCTGTTTGCCAAGTCTTTGGCATGCAAGTTTTGTCTCCTACCAGATTGTCGTGCTTACATAGTGTAGTTGCGTCCTTCAATTCTCTTCCCGTCTTTAAAATCTTTCAAGCTTACTTTCGATGCACTGACCAAATCTGAGATCTGCGGCAGATTAAGGGCCTAGCTGCATAGGCCACCAACTCTTGTGAGTCTGGTGAAGACACTGAGAAACACTGAGCATGTGATGGTTGGACTATGTAGCGACTACAATTTTGATTGAGAACACTAAGGAACAACAGTCCTTTTCTTGAGCAGTGTGTCATGTTGTCAAACACTGCCGCACGGTGTCTTTAACAAACTCAGGTCTCGTCTTGGAAACCGAAATGCTCCGCCGGCTCCGCCGGAAATCCGCTCGCTTGAGCTTGGGAGCTTGCCTACGACTAGGCCTACGACTGTCTCAGGTGTCCGGGATGAGGATGAAGAGCATGACTTTGATTGATCTTTGAATCCCTGCTCTATTGATCTTTCTTTGACTCCTCAGAAAAAAAGGGAAAGTTGAACCATGCGATCTATTGTGATCTATCCCTGTTGTTGTTCAATCTCTCCTCCGCGGTGCCCTCTGCGGAGTCAACAAAGTCTTCATCAAATATTCCTGAAAAGCTTTCGACCAGGAACGATCTCACCAGAATCCAGAACACAAAAATATCATACAAAATCATAGAAAGCGAGTTGCGAGCTTTGTCCACGGGATATATGTGTCTTTGGTAGAGGTAGATGAGAAAGACAATGTCATCGCGGAAGCAAGACATTCCTCACCAGAACCAGGGTGGTCAGGAGGTCGCTTCTAAGCAGAGATGTCGAAGTAACATTGGTGACCAATTCATAGCATGTGAGTTGGCAATTCAAAACGCCTGTTTAAACGAAAACACTGGGTGGAAGGCTGCCCGTCTTGGGATCCGGCGGTGCATTGTGGGCATTTTGATGATGAAGGAAAATAAATCATCCTTGGATACAGGAGTTTTCCCAAGTGTTCTCTGCCAAGAGTCTGCCAAGATCGACCAAGCTACAATGAAGGTGTTAATAGCTCCTTGGATGACTCGGGAGTTATCACAAGGCTGAGCTGTATGGCTTGAACCGGTCACTGAGAAGGGGTGCACTAGGAAGGTTTGAAACACGTCATGGCCTCTCCATCTATTTGCTGCTTGCATCTGCTTGCACAAGGCTTGCTCCACTAATTCTACCAAGCAACGGTACACGAACCGCTTCCAGGGCAGGTAAGCTACAGATTTCATGCGGTAATTGATGAAGAGTTGTGGCGTCCTGGTGGCTCAAGAGAAGACATCACAATGGCCGTCCAACTCAAATGCATTGCGAAAAGCAACTGTTGTTGGGCCACAGCTTTGGCGAGACAAACTCTAGATTCCTTCGATGTCCTTCAAATATATATATATATATATACAACCTGAAACGACCAAGTTTTTTGGTTGTTCTTCAAACGACCGTATATTTTTAAAACGACCATAAAACATGGTCTTTTCTTAAACGACCGTATTTTTGTCAATTATGATGATGTTCAAAAATTACATCATGCACAATGCATATCAAGCAGTTGATTTGTGAAATCGTATACGACCATATATTTCTGGAAACGACTGTATATGTTTTTCGAACCACGACCATATTTTGTTGAAACGACCGTATATTCTTCGAACCACGACCGTATACAGGCCGTATGCAAACCGTATGCAAACCGTATAAAAACGTATAAAAATGTATACGACCAAGTTTTTCATGTATAAAATGACTGCAAGATAAAACGACCGTTTTTTTTGAAACGACCAAAAAAAGTGGTTGTTTTCAAAACGACCAAAAAAAAGTGGTCATTTCGGGTTGCAGGTATATATATATATGTATATAATATAATCTGAAGCGTCAGAGGGAGGGCAAACCCACCCCTCTGCAGGGCTATGAAGTCAAGATTCATTAAAGCAAAGCCAAGTGCATAGACCATGGATGCCGACACATGTAGCAAATACCTCAAACAAATGCTACAGCCGTCAAGTCCTGCCATTATTTCCTTGACATGAGCCCGTCAGAAAATGCACTGCGTTCAAACACTAGCAAGGAACTTCTTAGGAAACCTGCGTTTCGTCGAGACTCGTTGGTGTCCTTTCACTCGCTTTGTTTCGTCTTTCACCAAACACTTGGTTCCAAGTCTCGCAATGATACCTTTGTGGCATTCATACTTCAGGGAGTACATGGCGTACACCAGGACAATTGGGACCAGAATCTCAGCACAACTTTGCACAACAGCATCGAGAGGTACTGCCAAACATAGAGAGGTCGCAGACGTGACAAGCTGGCACTCAAGGCAACGCAAGACACTGCAGTAGGTGCAAGGCATAAGACAAATACTGCAACGCCATCTTGTCATAGTCATCCTCAGACCGCAGGTCTTGGACTCAAAGAACATGAAGTGATGGCTTCTGATTCTTGAGGAGCTAGCATGCGGAAAAAGAGTCTGTGCTGGAGTGCGGAACACGACTTCTGAGGGTCGGATACATTAAGAGTCCACTTCTCTGCAATCGCACCTGCCCAGCACATTCCACACACTCAACATTCTGAACTGATCCTTGAGGTGGTTGTTCAAGATCCTTCAGGCAGATCGCTGATACAAAGATTGCATGGCGACATCACTTCCGCCTCTAAGACCCGTGTGAGCTTCCAGCAGTCAACTGCAATCTGCCCCAGCATCAATATCAGGACAAGCCAGCCTGTGTCTTGGTCGTACCTCTGTGCGTTCGACTGCAGGTCAACAAGGATGCTTCTCAAAGTGTACACCTATATATTTGCGTTTCTATTGGAAACGAGCGGCAAATAGATCCAAAGCACCACATTGCCTGAGTTTGTAGTGATGCATGCCCATGAGGTGTTGAGCTGAGATTGTTGGTGCGCTGCTAACATCATCTAACATCTGCAAACCAAGAAACAAAAGATTTCTCCCAAGATTGCTCGCAGTGAGATGTATCGCTTCAACGTCTCGGCATCTGTTTTCTGCCAAAACAACACCTGTCTCAGCAAATGAGTGCGGGGTCCATTTCGTTGCCATCCTCAAACAGCCTGCCCTCTCATGTACATGCAGAAAAACTCGGCCGAGGACATCATGCTTGAGCGCTAGGTACTCAAAGATCATGTGTAGGACACTCACCACGAAGGTCCCTATGAGCAAGTAGGAGTTTGTGTTGGCAAACCTGGCTTTTCGCAGAATTCGCTTTTGCTAAGCAGGCAGAACTGGTCCTGTCTGCCAGCAAGGAGCAAGTCCCGCATTTGCACAATTTCTTCAGCATCCTCTCCAGCAAACTGTGTGGCCATATTCTTGATGCTCTGATCCATTCTCAGCTCACGTGAGAGATTCATTCGTTTTAAAACAAACACTCGTCGAAGCACTACTGCAGTCAAGATGCATGTTTTGAAATCGCCATCTGGCTGCAGACATAAGACTGAAGTGGATCTCCTTGGAATCGAGGAGTTGCTTTGCTCCTTTGAGGCGCTTGATGAACGCAAAATTTCATGAACAGGGCTGTTGGAAAGAGAAGAGTCTGCAGTAAAGCTGTGTTCTCCACTAGGAGGAAACTTGACCAGCTGATCATTCGTCATCCAGAATTCATCCACATACCTCACTGTCACTAAAGCAAACTTGATCTTTGCTGCGCAACAACTGACAACCAAAAAAAGTATTTGGCTGCAAAAAAGCTGCATTGGTGGATAGTAGTGAGCGTTTTTCCAAGGCCGCGGATAGTGCGTTCGGTCATACACAAGTCTGACCTGCAAGCATTGGCGAGAACAGCACTACTTGCAAGCATGGCCTGCTAAAGCTCTTGAAATGAGATTGAGGAATCAATTTGAGCATCTTCTATGACATATCGACAGCCTGCATCTTTGGCACTCCTCTGGCAGTCAAAGGATTAACCTCGCTTCCATATGCCCTGGACATGGAAATAACTCCAGTGACGGCCAAGGATGAAGTGCAATAAACTGAGAAGTACAATCTAATTGTTCTTTCCTTATCGATTTCTATTTGTTAACAGTAGACCCTGTCTTTTTTGTGAATCTTTTGTGAGAGACTTCAGCCCTTAGGCCTTGGTTTCTCAGTGCAAGGGCTAGCAAGGCTAGCAATGGGTAGACTGAACAGGGCATTGTGCGATATTGTCAAAAAGAAATGGGTATTAATACAACGCCTTTCTTCATTGTCTTCGCAAACTTCTCCTGGGACTCAATAGAGGTAGAGTTACAACCATGTGTGAAAGCAACCTGGTTGAAAACCAAAGCAGTTGCCGCACAAAGAAGAAATTGTTCCGCACCTGACGCAAGCCAGTACTTTGTAGCCTGCGCCTTCATCTTGTCGTACCTGGGCCGGAAGTGGAAAGGCAAGTTCATTTTTCAGAGTGATTAATTACAAACAGGATGCAGCAAGTTGCTTTCAAGGCACTTTATCATCCCACCATGTGCTTCGGCAACACGATCACCTTCAGAACCCGACTTGCTACGATTGTCACCATCAGGCAAGGATTCTTGGTGTCTGTGATCCCGCCTTTGAGTGTCCTCAGCCTAGCAGTCAGCCACACATTCCTTGGTTTGCGACACCTACAGTATAAATCAATTGTGGGCGTTATGAACCTGTGGATTCGCATTGTGTGTGGGATATGTTTTGTGTTTGTGGGATATGTTGATATGTTTTTTCAACTTATCTGTGTTGAATTTGTTTCTTGAATTACATGTTTTCGTTGTTGTTTCTGCAGTCACGGCCTTGTGGGGCCCACTGGAGCGTTGCAGAGTGAGATGTGTTCGAACATTGATGCAAGATTGACATGTGTGTTTGGACAGGTGGGGTGCGGCTGGAATAAAATCGTGTTGATGTGGACGCGAACCTGGGATGGAGATGCTACGTGATTGCTGTCCAGATCCCGCTTGCTTATGCTACTTGAATGTAGTTTCAACAGTGTAGAATTTATACATGTATTAAAATAACTAGTACTGCGGTGATGCATATTTTTGCGTGAGACTGAAGTGGTGGATGTGTGTTTTTATGTGTTTCTATTGGTGGCAGTGTGTGCACTGTGTACAGTGTACCGGTGCCAGGCAAAAAGAAGGAACGATCTTGATTTTACCACCTAGATACATAATTTTAAGCTTCCCTAAAGATCTAGGAACCAAATCATTAGTGCCAACGCTTCTTCAAGGAAGCTTCCCCCCGCCGCCTTCAGGGCGGGGCCCCCTCATACTCGCACACAGATCGAACTCATATTCGCACACAGGCCCCCCCTGAAATCTAACTCCTACTCGCACACAAATCTGACTCATCCTTACACACACACACACACACGCTTTCTAGCTCATCTTTACACACACGCGTTTTGATTGCCTTTCAAACCCCACTTCTGCCACGCAAACTCATCTGCACATGCAAATTAATGAGTGGGTTGGGGTGGAGGTGGTTGGCTGGAAGCTAAAATGGTAAAAGGATGTGAGATTGGACAAGGTGAGCAACCTAATGTTTGCAAGTAGGACTAATGATTTATCTTTCAGCCCCTCCTCAAACAAACCATGGTTCAACAACCCAGTACATCCTTCCAAACCCTGCTTGCAGCGGGTACAGCGCAAAGTCCTGGTAAAAACACCTCGTTCCTGGGGCTTGTGTCCCTGCGCTCCCTGCAAGAGACTTTGGGAGCCCACAGGTGACATGGAACCCAAAAGCAATCACACTGCCTGCGTGTGTTCCTCCAGACTATCAAAGAGGGCGCTGCACCCTGTGCGAAACTGAAATGTCTGCCGAACTTGTTGCTGCTCTCACAAGTTTTGTTGACTTGCGTCGGTGGATCGACTCAGGTGTCAATCGATCAGGCCTGCGCCTATACGCGCGCGAAAAAACGCCTGAGCTGCCCTTTGGAGTTTCTGCTTTCGCCAATGTTTTCTCAGGGAGCACACTCTGGAGCGCATACGCAGGCAGTGTCCAAAAGGTGGCAGCAGGAGCAGCGCAAGGCCACAGGCGCGCAAAGAAAACACGCATTCAAGAGCAGAAGGGGCATCGTAGGGTCCATGGGACTGTGCTCCAAAAGCCTCAGACAAGAAGACTGCAAAGACAGGCGGCGCGGGTCAAGAGGGCTCCAAGCCACAGATCCTTGAAGTCGAAGAAGCCGTGGCACTTCAAGAAGACGTTAAGTCGAAGAAGTCGTGGTATTTCAAGAAGGCGGTAGCAAGTGCGTGTGCGCGTGCGCCCCTTGAAATCACAGGGATCCTGTAGGATTGTGAAACTTCTTTTTCTTTGTCTTTCAGCAGGGGGGTGCAGAGCACAGTGGAAACTGCACCCAACGAAGCTATCCACTTGTGCTGGAAGCAGAGCCTGATCAGCACTGTGTGTACCTGCTTGATTTTTAACATTTGCCGAGAAGTGTCGTAAAGTGCTAGTGAGTTCTGCAGATGTGCACGAACGCCGTCATTTTGTCGTTCCGAACTCGTCGATTTGGCGCTTGCACTTTGGGCCTCACTTCCGTTTGAAGACCCCCAGCTTCCGTTGGGTTTTTCCTGCGCTCTTAGGAAACGGTAACCTAGGCCGGCGTGTGGCAAAGCGCAACCAAGTCGGTACGCATTTCTGTAAGTGTGTGTTGAAACGATCATCCAAGATCTGACACACATGCGCTCACTCCCTTGACTGCATACTCCGCGTCTGATCGGGTTTGCACAATTGATCGAGTGAGGACGAAGCAGAGCCACCTTTTGCACCGATCACTCTCACCGCAAGCTGCACCCGCGTGGAACTGCCGAACACGTTGGTCAAAGTCACGCACATCGCACACTTGCCGCGTGACTTCGTTCAAACCTGTGGTAGGTTGCCTCACTCTCCTTGCCGACCAAAGCAAAGCCGACCTCAAAAAAGCTTGTCGTCAAGAAGTCACTCTTCCATGGCCATGGAACTGATTTTCCGCAGTCTTGGCAGGAAATCCAAGCGTCAGGAGTCAGGAGCCTATGGCCTTTCTGGAGATGCGGTAAGCACCATCGCCAATCCGAACGGCCTCCTTGTTGTCCAGCCGACGCCAGTACAAACCTCACAGATGTCTAATATTGATCTTCAACGGTTTGGCTCCTTAGGCTGGATGACATATTTTTCGAACATCACGCTGCCATCAATCACAAAAAATGAGTCTGTTGAGGAACATAAGAGCGCAGGCGCCGCGAACATCACAGCCAAGCCATCATCAAGATGACACGCCGCCACGCGCAGTCCGCATGCATCCTCTGAGCAATGGTCCGCCACAGCGGGACAGGAGCGCTGCAAAACGAGCCAGTCTGCACGAGCCCAAGAGTCAGGGCGAACAGTGGAGCTGAGCGCACCAAATCTGAGCCCTTTTTCACCTCACAGGCTTGGCGCTGCTGATGCCAGAGGAGAAACGGTCCATTACCCGCTGAAAGACTTTCCCGTTACGCGCAGGGAGGTCAGAAACTTGGCAAAGGACCCGAGAGAAGATCCGGGCAGCCAGGATTCCCCAATTCTAACTTGATAGCAAAAGCAAAGAGCAACGAATAATAACGACCGAAAGCTGGGATGGGAATGTCACGTGAGACCCTTAACGCTTACAATGGTCAAAGAACAGCAAAATCTTCTTGGAATTCGGCCGCGTGCACAAAGAAGGCACTGAAGGCACCTGGTCATCACTGGTCATCCCGTTGTTTCAAATTCGCGACATAGCTCGCAACCATCTTCTCGGCAGGACAATTTTCTCGCAAACCCTGCAGCTGCATCTCTTGTAGAAGACCCTGCAGTCGATACACTTTGCGCGTCGCCAGAAACTTCTTAATGTAGTCCTTCGTCGGCTGCATTAGGCCATGCGCAGCATCATTGTGCGTCCTGCCATCATAGAAATGAACAGGAACAGTGACCAACCAAACGAGCATGCTAATTAGTGTACTTAGTTAGTTAGCTACCTAGCAAGTTTGTTAGTTAACTAGTTAGGGAAGTAAGTAAGTTAGTTGGTGAAATAAATAGTTAGTGAGTTAGTTAGTGCGTTAGTTAGTTAGTGAGTCAGTGAGTTAGTTAGTTAGCTTAGTCAGTTGGTATATTAGTTTAGGTAGTTAGATAAGTAGTTAGATACCTAGTTAGTTAATTAGATAGTTAGTTAATTAGTTAGTTGGTTTAGCTAGTTAGCTCGACAGTCACTTAGTTGGTTAGTTCGCTAGTTAGTGGTAACTAGTTAGTTAGTTACATAGTTACGTAGTTAGTTAGGTAGTTAGTTAGTTACTTAGTTTGCTAGTCAGTTACTTAGTTAGTTAGGTCGTTAGTTAGTGGAAACTAGTTAGTTAGTTAGTTAGTCAGTTAGTTAGTTAGCTAGTTAGTTAGTTAGTCAATTAGTTAGTTAGTCAGTTGGTTAGTTAGTTGGTTAGTTAGTTGGTTAGCTAGCTAGCTAGCTACATAGTCAGTTAGTTAGATAGATAGTTAAGTAGCTAGTTGAATACTTAGTGCGTGGCAATTAGTTAGTTAGTTACTTAGTTAGGCGAAGCCAAGTCAAATTAAGACGGTTAGTTACTGAGTTAGTTTACTTGGTTGGTTGGTTGGTTGGTTAGTTAGTTAGTTAGTTAGCTAGCTGGTTATTCAACTAGCTTAGTTAGTTAGTTAAGTAAGCGATGACAAGCCTGGAACGATCACCGTGCTTCTCATCCGAGGTCGACTTTACAGTGAGCACACCAGACTTGAAGTCGTACTGCGCCACACCTCGCCAGGCACATGTCCCCGCCTTGCAGGTAGAGCATGTGAAGCGAGTGTAATATCCATGGAACGAGCTCCTCTCATTGGCGCTCATCGATAGCTTCACATCCTTGGCCCATTGGCGAACTTCCTCCTCGGAGTGGCTGCTGGTCCGCTGAGAGCCTTCGCGCTCCCCGCGCAGAACAACAAGAGATTGAAAAAGAGATTCTAATGACCACCTCCACCACACATAAAGGCAAAATGGATGGTGCTTGCGGAAAGGGTGTCAGTAAAAACTGCCTCTACGAAGTTCGTGCATCAAAAAACTTCCACGAAGCTCTGCGAAGGTTTCTGCTGAACACAGGGTGACCCCTCCTGATCCATGGAGCGAAACTTACAACAAACCCGGGCCTTCCGAAGCCTCTCAGAAATCTCCGGGGCATCCGTTGCTGGCCGCTTCAACACCCGCGAACACGGACGCTTCAGCATCGCACAAGTGAAGTGAACACTTGAAACATGTTACAGTTGTCCCCGTCATTGTTTGGAGAAAAGTTGCAGGAGATTGGACAGTTCTATATACCTTACTAATTACATAAATATACATGCATGAAAAAATAGTAATATATATTATACATAAACTTATGTTCATGAGATTTACTTTGCAACGTCTTCATCTTAGATGGGCCAGGCTGCGGATCACACATCGCACGCAAAGCAAATCGACCGCCGTGCGAAAACGAGTGCTCAAATGCGTGCAAAAACGAGGCACCGCCCCGGAAGGCGGGGGGAGCTTCCTTGAAGTACCAGGAGCTTACTTGTAGCTACTAGCTACCTTTTCTACTAGCTACCAAGGTACTTACTACCTCTACGGCCTACCCTCCCGCCTTAAAAAGAGAGTCAGGTCACGTTCCTTGATTGCTTTTTCCGAAGCAGCTCACGTGGACTGGTCCGATTCTCACGGGACCGGCAGTGTTTTACATGGTGCATCCGCGCCTAGTGTTGCTGGTTGATTGGGTTTATTGTTTCTGCTTGTGCATGCTCCCTTGATAACCGCTGTTCTTCTCTGCTTGCCTTTTGTTCCTTTCTCATTTCGTTTGCTTTGCCTTGCCTTGCTGGCTTGCTGGCTGGCTTGCTGGCTTGCTTGGTGGCTTGTGCTTGCTGGCTGGCTTGCTTGTTTGCTTCTGTTTGTTACTTCAGTCTCGCACATCTTTCAAATCTATTACCAAATTCGAAGTTGTTTTCAATTCTTTAAACAAAGAAATCTATCGGCGATAATCGGCTTGAAAAGACTTGCAGCCTCGAGTCTTGGTCTTGGTCAGCATTTTTGATGAGACGTTCACCAAGACTGATTTGGAAGATGGGATGAAATCCTGAAAAAGAGAGGTAGGCACCGACCTACTGCATCAGTATCAGCCGACACTATTAGCTCATCTCAGCTATTCCGCGCTACAGTACCTTACACCTCTCGCTCCATCTTCAGTCCTCCTCGTCATATGGAAACTTGACTGTCCAATCAGGGCTCGCATCACGAGCAATTGTTGGTTGCGACCTTCCACAGTTGGAACTTGGTTTGGCAACTGCAAATGTCCACGTGCATCCATCTGGAAAGCTTTGGGAAGCCACTACACAGGGTCAGAATCTTGTATGCGGTGCTGCCATGCAGTACTTAAGAATAGTCAGGTGAGGTTGCAAGATGTTGCAAGTGTAGTTATGAGGTAATGCTCAAGTGCTGCCACGGCTGCTTGCTCTCCTTGATAAATATATCAAGTGTGAGCTCCTCCCCGCGTTCTATCCTCCAGGCAAAGCCGCAGAATCTGTTGTGATAAACACACGATGCACCTTGTTACTAGTAGCTTCTTGTTACTAGTAGCGATGCACCTGTTCCTAATAGCGATGCACCTTGCTACTAGTAGCTTCTTGTTATATACTTGTTACTAGTAGCGGTAAACAATTGAAATCGTCTTGCACTGTTGCACCATGTTGCATCTATCCTGTTCTGGAACTTCTCCAGGTATCTATGGTTGGAATCGAAGTCCTTCCATGCTCGTCACACTCTGCGACACTCAAGCAATTCACCATGTCGTCATTACATGTCATTACCAGATGCAACCGCAGTCCGGAAACTTTGGGTAGAGCATTCCATGCATGTTCCAGTAAGCCTCAGCAAAAGAACTGTCCAACAGGCCAACAGGCGCTCCCAAGCTTCCAAGCCCTCGGCTTTCCCAAAGTAGCCTGAGCGTTGAAAGACAAGTTTTTCAAGTCACCCCAAGAGTCCAAGCAGTAGATTGGTGGGGGACTCCAAGCTCAGACTGATAGCAAATTCCAACAAGAAGCAATCAGGCCAAGCAACCCAAGATCAAGATGGGCACGATCTCTGCAGCTCCGCCCAGCAAACCCTGAAAATCAGAGAAAATGCAGTCAACGCCAACTTGCACAACTTCTGTTCAAAGCCTTCGACTCCTTTTTCTTCTCCTTCTTGGGCTTTCTCGTGTCATCCTGGAAAGACACGACTAATGCAGCACCAAAATCAGATGTGCCTTGCGGGAAGGGGAGGAGTTCAACTCAGGGCCAGCCGAATAGGAATGGCCTCCAACCTACTAGTTACTAGCGATGGCCTCCTAGTTACTAGATGTTACTAGCGATGGCCTCCAACCTAAGAGCGATGGCCTCCAACCTAATAGCGATGGCCTCCAACCTAAGAGCGATGGCCTCCAACCTAAGAGCGATGGCCTCCAACCTTATAAGGGGAGCAAGGCTGCAAGGCTGAGGCAGACCTGCCTTTGGTTTCTCTACCTGGTCAGCATTCTGTGTCTGGTCTCCGTCAGCACCCTCATCCGGTGCCTCCGAGGGTCTTCAGGACTTATGAATCACTGAATCACGTCTTAAGGACTTAAAGACACAGAGAGAAAGAACATGAAAGAAAGCTTCTTGAAAGAACAAAAATATCAAAGCCAATGTGTGTTGAGCTGTCTGCTGTGCCTGCGGAACTGGGGTGGAAGATCTTTCAAGTTGACGGACCATCGGTGTCAGCGAAATTCCCTGGACATCGAACCAAAACTGCGGGCCTGACAGCCTGTCACAACATGACATGGCTTTAAGAGATGCCACTCATCACTATATAAAACTGTATCTCATCGCATCGTTTCTCGTATCCCCCGAGACACCTCCCGAGCTCGAGTTCAGTCCTCCCGAGCTGCGGGCTCGGATCCGCCTCGGAACTGGTAGGAACGGATAACGCCTCGTTTGGCCTCGCTCAGCTGAGGAACTTCCAACGCTTCGAAAGCCATCACTCGAGGCGCTTCTCCTGGAAAGGCAGCGATGGAAACGAAAAAGAATCCATGAATCAGGAAAATGAGTGGGACGGGCGGGACGGGGTGGAGAAAGCACAGAATCTGCATCCTGAGGGACGTGCTTGCGCCACACAACCTGTCGAAGAAGCATGTACAGCATCACAACCGTCCCAGCAAGCTTGAAAACTAAGGATGGCTCCGTGAACAAGAATGGTGAGTTTCAAGATCGATGGGATCAGTTTCAAATCATTTCAAACCGCTTGAATCTGATTCTCTTCACCTGCGGAGTTTGGCATCTGGTGGCCGCGTCACTTCTTCCATGAGGAGACTGCCTCGCCTCGCGCGACGCGGCGCAGCGGCTCTCGTGCCCAGAGGCGGACGAGTCGGAGGCGTCGCTTAAGTCGGACACCCAGAGCAGTCCAGTTGTCGAAAGGCTGCTGCTTCATCCTTGAAACCACATCCTGAAGCCAACCGGACCGAAGGACGAAACCGAAATGATCAACTTGTCACAGCCAAAGACATGGAAAGGGCCGCAACAATGTCGCCCAAAACGAGGTTCATTTAGCGCACATCATGTAAATGTATGTAAATGTGACTAGTGACCCCCTACTAAACCGCCCGATGCCCCTTTCGGCATCCTTCGCTATTTCCTCTGAAAATCTGCCCCTTTCTTGGATGTCTAACTTTTACCATCTCAGCATGTCTCAGGAGTGAAGAGGTCTGGTGACATACTATTCAACGGTTGGAGATGCTCACCCTCATGAGCCCTGAGACGTTCTATCCCAATCATTAACAATGGCAAGAAGCCTTTGCTACTGAACTCCGGTTGAAATGAATTGCTTCCATGGGAATTCCTCTTGATCCCGTTTGATTTCTTTGAAACCCTTTAATTCCTCTGACAATCCTTCGAATTGAATTTGATGCTTCTTGGGACACGATTAAAAGCCCACTGGATTTTAAGCACGTGGAGCGGTATGGAGTTGTAGTGAAGTCGTATGGGCATCGTCTTGACTTTAACGTACTTTAACCCTCCGGAAATCTCGTTTGTTCAGCCTCAGGCCTTGTCTGCCTTCTTGGCATTAGGGGTGTACTGTGCAAACAAGCGGGACAAAAGAAATGTGACTTGATGTGTGATCGATCGGCCCGGACCTTGCAAGTCCTCCAGCCAAAGACCAATCCTAAGCGGCAAAGCTCACACGAAGGCAAAGCAGTAGGGCGACAGCTGGAATTGGAATCTAAGCCCCAGACGCCCGCAGGCCTTTCGTGAAGTCTTCAAATGTCAATAAACCGCGGCGCCTCAGTGAACTTCCAAACGTCATCCAAAGGGAAAAGAGCCGAAAATACAGATAGAAATAGAAACAATAAAGAATCCTACTGGTAGGGTGAAGGCCATGGCTGTTAGGTTGGAGGCCATCGCTAGTAGGGTGGAGGCCAGCAAAATGCAAAGGATTAGATGATTAGATATTGTTCTGAAAGCTGAGGTACATGCCCTCCACCAAAAGCAGCTTCCAAACGCCGGGTCGAACCTCCCAATTTCCAAATGGCCTCCCGTGTCAACAGTGAGTTGTAAATGTGGCAATTGCAGTGGCTAGTGAATGGAAGGGACCCGAACTAAACTGGATCGATGAATGCAAGAATGATCCACAAGGCCCGCAGGGGCCTCCCGCAGTGCGGCCTCCTGTAAATGCTCGAACTGCCTGCTCTAGCTCTGAAAATAATCTGAAGAAGCCAAAACCTAACCGAAACCCGCTATGGCATTCCCGCGCATTTGCTGCCTGCGACCATTGCAAGGTCCCAGACTGGTCACGCGTCTCATATCATGGTGCTCAGTGGTCAACCCGGAGAGCTTGAGAAGGACCATTGTGACCATGTGCAAAGCTTGTGCAAAGCTTGTGCAAAGCTTGTGCAAACTGATGTCCAAAGGTTTGCCCCAAAAGGAAAGCGTGATTGATCCTGTGACAACTTGCTGTCAGTTTTATCAGATCGAAGACAGCATTGCACCTTTTTCGGCTTTGGAATGATGACTCTGGAAAACTTCGTTCTGCGTGCGATCCCACATTGGGGGAGCAATGCTGGTGATCTTCTGATTCAATCTTAGCATGGAAAACGAGATACATGAAACAATCAGCACCCCTAAGAATAGAGAATAGAGCTGTGTGGCACAGCTAAGGGCCCTTTTGTGTAGCTAACAACATTGGCACTCCCTTGTCACTTGTAGCAGTTGGCATTGTTGGTCTTTGGGGTTAGAAGTTCTACGGCCAAGACGCGGCCAAGTTCATGGCTGAGGCCAAAAGCAAGATTAAAAGACACAGATCTTCGCCAAAGAGAGGCTTCCATCTTCCAGCCTTCGGCCCAAGCTCCGAAAAGCTACTTCACGACATGGCGTTCAGTGATGCTCCTGCATCGACCTCCTCCCACTCGTCTGGTCCCTGCAAAAAGCTGATTTAGTCACCAAGCAACTTCGATGCGCCATCAAAACTTGAATGCGTGAACTGGGTGAGTTCCCTCACAAAGCCATTGTCAAATTGAGATTGTCAAACACAACGGACCTGGTATCCTGCAAAATCACTGTCGCCGAAGTCATCAGCCTGGGCCACCTGTCCCAATCAAAGCATGCAAAGCAAGTGTGCCGATGCTGCTTCTTTCCACCCACGGTCATTACGCTTCTGCTGTGGGAGGCGAAGCGGTGCGCGGTTAGCGAACCATGCAACGATTTGAGCCATCCAGAAAAGCATTGAAAAGCCCAAAAGCTGCGCCTGCTTCTTCCTCATCTGTCTTGTCAGGTGCGGATGATTCTCGATGATGTAGTTCTTAGACGTTCGGACACTTGCCATGACAAAGCACGTGCAAGAAGACATATGCATTCTTGCTCCTAGCAAGAAAGAAAGAAAGGGAAAAGGACAGGTTTGAAGCAAAGAGAACACATCGGTTTCTGTGCCTGGTGGAACATTGGTGGCAGGTCTGGATGAGGAACTGCAGTGTAGCTTGTTGGCGTTGCCTATTGGATTTCAGACGTTCAAATGATCCTCTTGGAATCAACTGATTTTTTCTACGCAAAATGATCTTGAACAGTGAGGCCATCGCTATTGGGTTGGAGGCCACAGCTATTAGAAACAAGAATAAACTTCATTAAATTAGAATTAATAGCTTCTTGTTACTACTAGTAAGGCACTTGTTACTACTAGCGTGGCACTTGTTCCTACTGGTCTTTTGACCAGTGGGCATTCAGATTTTCAGATTTAACGATTCGACGATTCGCCTCGAGGCTGCCACCTGGGCCAGGAGCAAGCTGCAAGAAAGCACCCTTGTTGCCACCAGTATCCAGGTAGTTTGGCGCGCTGAAGACACTCATCAAGGTATCATGATCCTTCAAATAACCCTCTGCTTTCACCTCATGAGATCGGATCAGCAGCTTCACGTTGTTCTCTCTGCAGAACTGCGCAGTGACATCGGGACCGAACATGAAAACTCCACGGCTCTTTCGGTATGAAGGGCCATATCCAGATCCACCTCTGGGATCGGACCACAAGAAATCGATGATCATTCGAGTGTCCGTCTCCCACTTCTGCTCCTGTCGCGGGGCACTGTCCACCGCCTCCTTGTACGAGTTGGGTGTCAGCTCGGTGTAGCGATCCACCGAGGCAATCTCCGCCAGCGTGGTGGCTCGCGCGTTCACCGGAACGGCATCTTCGGGGTCATGCGTCTGACCCGGCAGCCACACACGAGGGCGAGGGCCAGGAATACCGGCATGCACCACCAAGACCTCGTTGTTCACGAGATGCAGCAGAGGAAGATTTCTGAAGGATTCAGAGAACAGGTTGAAGAGATCCAAGTCATACTTCGAGCCTGTCTCACCTGCAAAGCCATAGATCATGTTGGCCTCGAGCATTTCATGGTTACCTCTGTTCATGAAAACGGCGTTGGGATGCTTCATCTTCATGGCATAGATCAACAGAATGACCTCAATGGACCAGGACCCGCGGTCAACAAAGTCGCCATTGAACAGGAACGGCCTCAGAACGTCAGCGAAGCTCATTAGATCATATGATCATCCAAATTGAAGTGTTGCTTATTTTTTCAGATCCCCAGCAGGAATGAGGACTCAGCAACTATGTTGGCATATGCAGGCAGTTGTCTATGTCTATGTTGGCTGGGTCTTCACGCGTGTTGGGCGATGGAAGGCCAGCCATGCCTTGGGTGGTTGGCGAACGTCAAGTTGTTCGCTATTAGGTCGGAGGCCACCGCTCTTATGTGGAGGCCATCGCTATTAGGTTGGAGGCCATTGCTTTAAGTTTCCCAAAAAGTCTAGGAACCACATGAATTGTACGAGCGCTTTCATGCGTCCAGTAGCTAGTAGCTACCTAAGCTTAGTCGCTTACTTAAGCTACTAGTTACCTCTTCGCGGCCGACCGCCACTGTTAGTTCATATCTAAGATTAGATTATATAGATCTATAATTAACAACAAATAATGAAGTCCTGGGTGTCCAGCTGAGAATGTTCATGAAGTCAAAGTATTGGCCGTGAAGATCGCCAAAAACCGTCAGCTTCTGTCCAGGGCCAACCTTCGATGAAAGACTTGTTCTGCGATGCTTTGAAAAGCAGGTCTGGAAAGTTCTCAATTGGTTGGGACATCGTTTGCAACATCCATTCAAGGCCGTGCTTTCACCAAATGCTTCCCATCCGTCCTGAATTCGGTTCATGGTCTGCTCGGATTTCAGCTGTGCAATGACGTCAAGAACCAGAAGATAGGCATCCTTTCACGTCCGATCCAGCTTGAGAGGGCTCGAAAGCACACAGCTGCATGTTTGCCTTCTTGGGAAGGAGTTGTCCAGTTTGTTGCATTTGCATCAGCCTGCGATGGGCAGCCAAGTGAGAAAAAGCAAGACGCAACATCCCTCCAACCTCTGCAGGAAGGCATCATCAACATCGCTTGCCTGCCCAAACAAAATCTACCAAGAGTTCCAAATCTTGCGGGTCAACTCTTGCCTTCGTGTAGCGGGGGCCATTGTAGCCTGGTGCCTTGTATTGTAGGCAAGGATGCACATTTAATTCGCACATGTGGCCTAGGAAACAACCAGGATCTGCGCTGGTTCGGGCATGGCCATGGCACGCTGGCGCTCCTTCATCAAGTCCTTGTAAGAGCGCTCTGCGCGATATGATGTCAGATTGCATAGAAATGCGTAAATTAGCATGGTGCTTGGGTGCCTCATCGGACCAGCCGCTGAGACGTGGCATCCAAGCACCTGCAGGAACAGCAGGCCCAGCAGAAGCAGCCTGGCAGAGGGCTCATGATGCTCTTGTGTGGCAATTGGCCAAGCGCCTTACATACCTGAGAAAGGAGAGGACGAAAGCCAGCGAGAGACCAATTGGTAGTGCCAGACTGGGAGGAAAAAAATAGCGGAGCACTTATTGTTGAATGCCTGTAGCTTTCGTGGAGCTTGTATCAACGTGGGGTAGATCAAGATCGGAGCACAGCATGAAGTGTTGAATGTTTTTTGTTTCTCGATTTTCCTGGCGCGGTGCTCTCTGGAGCGTCCCTGTTTGGCAGCCTATTTGAGAATCCGTGTAAAAATAAACGTCAGTGAAGACCAGGAGAAGGATGCCCAAAAGGTGGCTTTTGGTTGTTTTGAAATGTGTTTCGGGCATCGTGCAGCAATGCGAAGCCCTATAAAGAGCAGGGCTGGGAGAAAGAAAAGAGGAGAGCACTCATTCTTGAACGGTTGTAGTTTTCGTGGAGCTGGTATCACTGCGACGTAGATGAAGATCGGAGCACAGCATGAAGTGTTTAATGTTTTAATATTCTTGATTTGCTTGGTGCGGCGCCTTCTGGAGCGTCCCTTGTTGGTGTTCTATTTGAGAATCCGTGCAAAAATAAACGTCAGTGAACACCAGGAGAATGATGCCCGAAATGGTTTTCGTGGTTGTGTTGAAATGTGTTTCGGGTATCGCGCGTCAATGCGAAGCCCTATAGAGAGCAGGGCTGGGAGGAAAAATAGCAGGGCACGTATAGTTGAAAGCTAGTTTCGTGGAGCTGGTATCACTGCGACTGAGATCAAGATCGGAGCGTTGAACGCTTGCAGCTTTCTTGCTTCTCCTCTTGCGGCGCTCTTATCCCCAAGCCTCTACCTCGCCCAACTGCGCATACTCACATCGTTCGCTCCCAGAGCGTTCACTCTTTGTTGCTTGGTCCTTCTTGGTATGATCAGAGCTACACAGTCCCTATGCCCTGCTCAGGACTAGAAAAGTTGTCTCCACTTGCGCACTATGATTGCCACCGCAAGCCCGGCCGCTCTGCAACACGATGGCGTACTTGTGCTGCTCATCGCATGGATCCTTGGGGCAACTCTCCGTCTAGAAGCTGGCGCACAAGGGTTGGCCATTCCTCATGTACTTGGTGAGCAGCTTGTTGTTGATAGACGCAGGCATGACGGAGACTTCGGCGACCCCTTCATGATGCTAATGATGCACTACTTGGCGTCCATTGCATCACTCGCATCACCAGACCCCATTTTCACTCCTTTTCTGACCCTCGCTTTGGAGCGCTCTCCCCCACCAAGCTCCGGGTTCACCCTCTCAAAAGGTGCCTTTTCGCACCCCCCCCCCCCCCCCACACCCCCTTAACTCACTTCGTTCGCTCTAAGAGCTCAAGCCTACCTAGCCTATCGGCTGGCTTTCGTAATTATTCAATATGGTTTAAGCAGCATCAAAGCGTATGCAACAATTTTCAACAACCAACAGCTCTGCCTTGTCCATTGGTTTCATCTCCACGTACTCAATTGTCACAGGGAATGTTACCTGACAAACAATTATCCCTTGTTGATCGTAGAACCCACGAAGCCCCAAAAAGAATGGGCCTGTTGATGCTTGCGCACGCGCTGAGCCTTGGCAATATCTCGTGTGGCGGGCCGCTTTTCTATGTCAAGTTTGATGAGGTCAAAGTTTTGAGATTGCAGCTCCACCCTTGAAAGCCGCCGTAGACTGCACGTCGGGATCTGGGATGAAATCCTCAAAATATCATCCAATCAGAAGCATCGTGGTATCTTTCTCATTCTCCCCTCCTCCAGAAGGTCCATGATATCTTCGAAGTCCCAGTCTGGGGCAATGCCAGCTTAACATCATTTGAAGTCAGTTAGAAGTCTCACCAAGAAGCCATGTGATGTGTGTTCTCTCTGTGAAGACTAAGACAACATCACCTCTTTTAAAGGAAAAAATGTTGGCTAGCGCAGCCCTACAAATTCTTTTCAAAAATTCTGACACCGTGCTTCTTGAAAGCTTAAGTTATTTGCAGTAGGCTTCAGACAACATCAGTATAAACAAAGCAAGAGATGACCCATTGTTGGAAGACAGTCTATATCAAAACCTATAACTCATGACTGCGGCTACTTGGGGCAGGGCTGCGGACGTCGGTGCCATTGACTGTCTTGACAACATAGCCTGAAAGGCAGCCAAAATTTATATGTCCAAAACGAGAATCAGCTGCCACCAGCCTTTTTTGACACCTGCCACGGCAGCTTGTCCAAGTGGGTCGCCTGGGTAGCGTGCCTGCAGCTCAGGTGTGCTCATGCAGGAGTGTGCCATGTGGGCTATGTGGCCTTTTCATTCATGTCCATCACCATTGCCTCGGGGGAAACAACTATTGACAGCTGCTGACGGCATGCGGTCACATGCGAAAACATGCGAGACACCAAACTGCCAGGGAATCCGAACGCCCTTTCCATCAATCCCGTGCGTGTACCTTTTGATGCCGCTGGGCCTGGGGCAGAGGCCAAGAGGGTAGACTCATTGAGCAAACCATTATCAAATGTGTTTCCAAGAAGAAAGGCCCGACCAATCATCAACCATGTTGAAGAAGGACCGCCAAAAATTTCAGGCTTCTCAAAGCCTCTTCTTCAGTTCGATGGTGTGAGTGGCCTGAAGAGTGCAAACAGAGTTCATGATAGTTCATGTATTTCGTGTCAAGCGAACGGAATTTGATGCTGAGGGGACGGCGCTCACCGCCGAGTCATCAGCTGCATTAAAGTCAGGGTCTTCCTTGACCTTTAAAAGTTGTTCAAATTTGCTCAATGTAGCTGTGGAAGGGCGCTGGCACCACTTGAGACTCCAACCCAGCCATGTCCATCCGCTCGATCTCGCGGGCGCAACTGGCGGCCCTGTCGCACAAGAGCTGAAGATAGAGAGCTTGTTTGATGCGGAGTCTGATGAAACAAGAATGGTACTAGAAACAATATGAAACAATGATACTGGACTCTAGAAGCGAACCAAGGTTCTACTGCTGTACTTGGCATTGTCACATGCTTCATTCAAAGGAACATAGCAGGAGTCTAGAGGCCTCAAGGAGCCAGGAGTGTCAATCATACCCGCCTCTGCTCGTCGAATGGTCAGAGCTCGAGATGCTTTTCTCGTTCGCCTCTGGCAAAACCAATTGTCGCGGACAATGGTCTGCTCTGTGTTTTGGTTCGTATTTCTTCATTCCGCGTGATGCACAGACCTGGTTGCAGCGGCAGCAGCACCGAGGCCAACAGCAATCTCAGTCATTCGTGGCCAACAGCTTGATCTCAAGGTCTCAAATGTCTACTAAATCAACCCTGTCAGCAGATGACATGGGCACTTTCCAGAATCACTATGAGCAGACATTGAAAGGTCTCAAGGTGCCGGCTGCCACTCCTGTGGAAGGCAGCCCGCCGGCAGTATTCACTTGAGGCTGAACGATGGCCTACAACAATCCAAACTTTCACACTGGAATCACTCATGTGGTTATTCGGTTATTCAGTAGACCATCCTGCGTACATGTTGCTGAACACATGGGTTCAATCTTTTCTGCCAAAAGTATTCACATCTTCATAAAGTGCATCGCTTCTAGCAACAAGTGCCTTACTAGTAGTAACAAGAAGCTATTAGGAACAAGTGCATCGCTTCTAGTAACAATGCCGCTCTGTTTCAGTGTCCACCTCATGTGGCACGGCCCTCACAGGAGCATCGACCGATGGAAGTAGGAAAGTAGGGGCGGCCAGCGCAGCCTGCAAGTTTTGTTTAGAATGTGACCAACAAAGACGACGAATGCTTCGCAACCCACCACAACGCAAGGCGACTGCATAGTTGACACAAAACACACAAAATTGGTATTATTACGGCATTGCACCGGCATTGCGACATATATGGTTGCCACAAACTGAGATTCAAACCGCTGCTCCAACCCCTGCAGCCACACCTTAGGTTTTGTGTAACTATTTCCAACTCAAAAGGATACGCTGCGACCCCCTTAGGCAAAGGACTCTGGCGCTTTGGTCGCGTCATGGAGCAAATTCTTCTTCAAAGCAAAAATGCAGCTTTTGTTCACAAGTTCTGCATGGTGTTCAAGTCTTCCAAGATTCTTCAATTGGACTTGGGTGAGTTCGAGAAAGAGACACGCACAAAGTCCATTTACTATCAAAGACATGTCTATCGGAAATTGCATGGCAGTGGATGCTGCTTTGCAGCATCCACCCGGGGGCCTCACGCGTTTGCACAGAAACTTGTCAACTGAGAAAAGATCCCATAGAAGTAGAAGTCACCCAAGAACATCATGGTGTGCTGCTAGGTCTTCTGTCACAGTTTGTCTATGTATAACAATGTGTGTGTGTGTGTGTCGGCGCTTGTGCTTCCAAAACACTTGCACAGGTGAAACTGCACAAGCCGCTTCCAAGCCAGCTTTGAGGTTGAGCAGTCCATTGAGGAATGGCTTCTTGCATGATAAAAGGACTTGCGGAGCAAAAACGCGTCCAACATCTGTTTAAGCTGGAACCTATCCAATTGGCGCTTGGGGTCGCTCAAATGGCTTGGTGGCGAATACGGACTTGAAGCCGCTCGATCGCTTCAGCTCTGGTCGCTGACATAGCACTTTTCCACTTGGTGGAATCCACTTGGGTCTGTCAAATAGGGAGAAAAGTCTGGGCAGCGTGGCTGAGTTTAGCAATCCGATATTTTGAGACACCCAGTAGCCAAATGCATCAAATTTTGAAAACTCACTGGCAGGCTTGCTGAGTCTCAGCGAGTAGATACCTGGCGATCGCAAAATCTCACCCTTGTTGACTTCTGATGGATCCGTAAGAAGCAAATAAAACATACCAAAAATCAAAAATGACACGTGCAGCACCTGAACCTGTCCACTTGGACCTTCCTCACCAATCTGAAGCCCTGAATCGGAGAGCCTGCACGGTTGATCCATTGTGGCTTTCTGTCTCCCTCAAGGATATTTTTTCGTGTTGCTGTCATATTGATCGTGTTGCTCTCTTCTATCCTCAGAAACGTCTGTCACCTTCCAGAATCAGGCGTCTTGGGTGCATTGCTACCTGGGAAAGAACCCGAAGGAAGCGAAAATGCACTGCTCTTCATATCGCAGCGATTCATCAAGGCCGCAGCTGGCATTGCTCTTCGACCTGCAGAGAAAGTGCCAGGCCAACTGATGCTAACGATGCCATGCTCGGCATCTTTCAAAGGTCGAGACGGCACAGATGCTTTGATTGAAGGTGTTGGGTGTGGGCCCGCCATCTTAGCAATTGCTGCAAGCTACAATTTTGATGCCACTAGGAGAGCAGAACAGTGCTGATGGTTTGGCTTGAACATATATAAAACCAAAATATACATGCATATATACAGTGCATACAAAATATTGAACAAAGAGAAGGAAAGCATTCAAAGGAGTCCTCAGAAAGCGTCTTCCTCTTCAGTGTCTCTTGTGCAATTCAGGCTTGTGCTCCTTGAGATGAGGATGAAGAAGTTCTTGTCTTGCCAACCTGTCCTTTTCACAGAGTTTGTGTCAACTCTTTTGAAGAAAGAAGCTAGCTACTAGTAGCTTCTTGCTATTAGTAAGTTACTAGTAAGGCAGTAAGGCACCTTGCTACTAGTAGCGTCCTTGTTACTAGTAGCAATGCACCTTGCTACTAGCGTTTGTTGCAGTTCGTGGCGCCTTTGGCTTTGGCTTTGGCCTTAAGCGCTAAGGCGCTTTGCGCTTTCAAGACAAGAAGCTCCGAAGGCAACATCCCTTGTCGACCCCAGCCTTGGCCAACTGTCTGGCCTGGAATGTTCACTACAAATGTGGGTGTCAAGGTAACTACAGCAGGGACAACATGGTACAACCTGCTATATACTATGTCTCAAGATGTCAGTACATGCTTCACGCTCGCTTCGTATGGATTTCACGAAATCGTGATGGAGGGGTATATGCGGCATATGGTCTCTGCAACAGGGAATACCAAGGAGAAAGAAATTGGACATGTAGCACAAAAGGCATCAACGAAACGTGGACTGGCCTTCTCTTGGGCCTCTTTTCGTTGTCTAGCCTCCTGTCGTCAGTTTGCGGGAGCCATGCACCATGCCATGCACCATGAGCCATGCGCCATGCACCATGGATCTTCGTCTACACTGTACACTCAAACCATCCCATGTCACACCATTCTGCTGAAGAGTTGGCGCTTGTCCAAAACAGCGATGGCAGCAATAACGCAACCAAATGATTACATATCTGCGCAATTGACTGGCAATGACCCTTGTTGTCCAACTTGATCACCACTTAAGTTCTTCTTCCCGTAGCGTCTCTTGTTCAGCTGAGCCAGGAATTCAGCATGCGCGCCCCAGTTCGACTAAGTCCTCTTCTGCCTTCTCTATTCTTTTCCTCTCCTCCTGGTAGAATTCTCACATGGAGCGCGCTTGGGGGTCGATGTAAAAAACTCAGGATAGCTCAGGTATACCTACCAAATCCTTCACCAAAAACAGGACTAGCACCGACTAGCTTCTTCTTCTTTTTGTATTTTGATCGATCCTCTTTGACTTTGACCAATTCCAATTGGACTGCTTACTTGCGGCCACAGCCGTGGCTTGGCAGGCCAGGAAGCCAAGAAAGGCTTCCTGATAGCACAAGAGTGCAAGTAACTTACAAGATCTTACAAGTATAACTTAGTATAACACAAAGTTGCGACCTAGTAGCACTAGCACACCTTTGCCAAAAAGAAACTAAAACAGACTGTATAGTAGCAAGATCAATGGTTCCTGCGCAGCCTCCAACCCTTGCTGGAAAATCGCTCAATCCCCAAAACACCACCAAAACGGATGAAATGGACCGATTTCCCTGAAACATGTGGTGTTTTTCTCCGAAAACAACCCTTGCTTCTTCAACGTTTGGGACATCGCAACACCGGCAGCGACTGGCCGCCACTGGAGGCTGTCCTCTTCTTCTTTCTCTCTTTGCTTTCGCTCGGACTGAAGGGCTCAAAGCTATGAAAAAGATGAGTCCAAAGCTGTTGCTGTGTTGCTCCAATGAAGACAAAAAGCATGGAACTACAAGAAGAAATGCTCCAATGATAAATATATGGAAGACAAAAAGCATGGAACTCATCACAATTGGACATTGTTTCATTCAACAGCTTGACAGGACTAGCAAGCTGCGTTTGAATCTAGGATATAAGATCTGATTCGGTTCCCAGCTTTGGCAAAAGTGGTGATTATAGCATGTGAAAACTCGATGCTCCGGCTCCACCTTATCCACCTTCACCTTCACATGAGATTCTTAGGGAAGCTGGACATGAATGGACTGAATGTTTGGCTTCGGTGTCTCTTTTCTCTGCCGAGTCCTTGACACGATTGTTGTCCCAGGGCTGCAATGAGGGTGGTGCAGAAAGCTTGCTCCACAAATGTCGAGTTTTGGGCGGCTAGTGAAGTGCTCTACCGAGTGCAGTAAACAAAAGTGCTTCAACTACCAGCAAGGCAAAGTTTGCACCCTTGGACGATTAAAGCCAATTGCATTAAGAACAACAGTACATGATGGATTGTTAACTCTCACAAAATCTTCTTTGGTCCGTACCTCTTGTCTTTTCATATCGTCTCTTGTCCTGAAAAAGAAAGTTCAACAAACGGTCAAACGAAGATTCAATTCGCACTGAATAACAGCTCTGAGGCAGCAGCTCTCGCTCCCGAAGCTGCTCCCTAAGAGGCAGATTCAAATCTGAGCGAAACCGAAGACAAAATTTGACTTTAAGGACGCATGGGAAGAGCTTGGCTTCGTGGAAGAACCTCTGTTTATGAAATCAAGCTGCTCTTTCCGTTTCTGCAGGTTCTCCACCATGTTGGCCTGGTTGCTTAGCTGGAACAGTCTTTTGCAAAATCTGCTTCACCGAATGAACTTGCAACAAAACTGCTGATACACACTCATGAGATGTTAGGCCCTCACCCGAGCATTGAGCAAGTTGTCATAGGTCTGCGGCACAGAGCAAATATTAGCATTGTCTCTGCCCAAATACACGTGGGCACGTGTGTTACAGTGCTAGTGACATGCACAAGGTCAACCTCTGTCGGATAGAAGCAGAAACAGCGGCCAGGCCGCAAAGGTCCAAACTGGCGCCAAAGCCGAAGTGACATGGGTGGCTAAATGAGTGTCTTGTGATTGGGTAACATTGACATGATAAGCAATGGTAAATGCCATTCTTTTCCTATCGCATGCTGAAACTAAAACTGGATGCCTTTACATCCGACCGAGCACGCTATTCAGTCATGTCAAAGAACTTGCCCCTCTGATTTTCGGTCAAGGCGAGCCAATTGCTCCAGTCTGGCCCCATGAAGTGTAAAGTTTTTCCATGATCGCAGCGCCACCCCAGAAATAATCAGCGACACTACCTTGACATTGAGAAGCAAAACAAATGAATTCAAGTTGTGAGACGTTGTAAGATGTTGTAAGAATCCTGGGCAGATTGCACATGTGTATTTTAGTTATTTCGCACCGTGTTGCCCTGTGTTTGCCACATATATGTTTGTCATGTCCAGATTTGCTGTCATTTGGTATGCAATCTTGTTGTCATGTGTGTGTGTGTGTCTCATTTTGGGGTCATGTCATTTCTGTTTACACTGACAAAAAGCAACAAAATGACACACCAAATGACAGCAAATCTGGAAATGACAAACATATATGGCAAGCAAATTACAAAAAATGACAAAATAAATGTTTTGAGGATCCTCAGTCTGTGCCACAAAGAGTCTCATAATCTTATATAAAGCCACAGAGGTCGATATCTCAAACTTCTGTTGAGCAGCGTCCAGCTCGAAGTGGAGTGGTGGAAAGAAAATCAAGCAAGCCAAAATGCAATTCAACAATTTGTCAAAAGAGATGACAACTCATGCTTACTTTTATATATGTTCCTTTTTGAAGGCCTGCTTCCTCTCTTTGGACATACGTATGTTAGGACGACTTAAAGTGACAATATGATTTAGTCATGTATTCCGTACGTAGTCATACATACTCATATAAGTTGTGCTTGTTAGAGACTTCCGTACTTTTGTAAAGTGTGAAGTGGTCAAGAACTTTTCTAGTGAGTCTCATGAGAGAAAGAAATGTTCAATAACGTCTGTCACCGTCTTATCGATTAAAAAGGCGTCGGTTCAATCAACGGGCCAAGCACAAAGTGCCTACAACTTCCCCGAAAACTAGCAGCTTTTGTGTACCGGTATCCTGTAAAACCCGACCCATCTTTCGGCCTTCTATCGGCCTAGCCAACCTTTGATAGACACAGGAAGTTCAAGATGCCGCTGGAAGCCAGGCGCAAGTCCACCAAAGAGTTGAAGCAACTTGGATGCTCGCGTCCTCCGGGCCCTCTTTGTGGGGGGTGTAGCCGCCGGCTGCAAGGACGGCACTACCAATAACTGGACCCAACGAATTGAGCGGCTTCACCAACGCGGCTCTTAGCATCCAATACTTTCCCGCATCATCGTCATGCAACGGACCGGTTGACGTGTTGTGACTCATTTCATCTGCCACAAGGAGGTGCTCCTGGATGACCGACGCGAATACAATTCCTCCCAAGCTGGTAGCAGGTCTCGTTGCTGCACGGCACGTTGTCATCAGAAGACAAAGTAGAAAGGATATCTCGGCGTTGAGGTAGAAGGAATCGCTGGCATCAAAGAACTTTAAAGTAGAGACAACACAGCAGGCTATGATGCTCACAAGCATGCGAGCTCGCAATGCTGCCAGGCTCACTCTGTAGATTCCCATGTCAGGTCGCTCGGCGATCCAAGTCAACGCGAAAGATAAAGCACCACAAAAAGGATCACCAATCACAAGCAAGATCTTGGCAGCAGTTCTCCATGAGGACAGCAAGAGCTGTACAAGGACCACGTCAAATTGACGGAAGAAGACACCTTCAGCGTCCAAAGCTGCTGTTAAAGATGCGTAGCGCCAAAAATTATGGTGCTTCAAAGCCACCGGGAAGAAATGCCGAAGCCTCTCCCTCATGGAACGCCTCTCCCTGCGAGGCTTAGAAGGCTGGTGTAGCTGACGAACAGCAAGCAGGGTTGTAGCAGCTGACAAGCAGCATACCAGAAAAAGATAAAACCGGAACACTCCACAATAACCTGGCCGAGAGTCCCAAAGCCAATATGCCAATGACATCACCACCCATTCCAAGCATCCAAAAATGGAGTTCAATCGCTGGATTTGAATCCGTTGCCGATCTTCTTTAGTTTGTTCTATCAGGATGAGTCCGTTTACTGCTGTTGCAACTGCTGCAAAGCCATCGGAGCATGTTATGGCTGTGGCATACTGGAGCCAGATGGGCATTGACATCTCTTGAAACGCAACGAAGGTAGTTGCAGCATAGCCAAGATGTGCCCAAAGGGACAAACGTAGCCGAGAGCCAAACCCACGAGCTACCCACTCATCCACGAGAAATCCGGCAACAATATCATTTAGGGGATTCCAAATGGAAAAGAAGCTGTGAACAGCTGCCACTTCAAGAGCGGTCAATCCCCGTGCCATATAGAAGCTCATGTGGAAGGCGCCAAAAACCATAGAATGGACACAGCCCAAGGTTGTTAGTAAATTGAACCAGAATCCCTGGAGCAGCCACTCATCGTCAATAAAGAACTTGGTAATGCGCAGGAAGCCAGTCGGCTCACTTTGGCGGTCATGGCTGGACATCTTACCAAGCTGTAAGCAAACAGACTGCTCCGTCGAATGGTGAATAGCAAGAGACTTTGGAATGACAATCAACAAGGAGCAGCCACATTTATATTCCACATCAATTGATGACACAAGTCTAAGGCTTCAACCCATAGCAGAGCTGCTGGTAGGGGGATCAGCGCTACTCCGATAGACATGACAGTCACCACGAGGACAACACCTGCAGTCTAGCACACTGGAAAAGCAGGGTGAGAAGAGCTCTCTTGTGAAAGCAATGACTCCCCATGTTGTTGATTCCATCACGTTCAATGCGAAGGTGCATTGCAACAATGTGACAATATGAGGGGTTCAGCTTCAGAAGTTGCGATTTAGTCGTGTCAGCACGAGTCATGAGATGCCAGCGCCTCCAAGCTTCTTGAAGATGGTTAGAGTGCAAAACACCAGGAAAATGGAACAGCCAGCTGTCGTGACTGCACTCCTGCGGGCCAGCGAGTAACCATGATCACAGAAATCCAAATTGCTTCCAGCACTTGAAGCGTTGAAAAACATCGGCCAGATTATCCCAGATTTACAGATTTTGGAGGTGCACTGCCCAAAACCCCGAACCCCTCTGTCCCTAGAGCTGCTCCACCAATCGAGGCAAGAGCAAAGACCGTCCGCACGAAGCGGATATCATCCGGGTCCCTGTCAAGAATCAAGTGGAATTGGGTGCGTTGCCATCAATACAATAAGCTACTAGGAACAAGTGCCACGCTACTAGGAACAAGTGCCTTACTACTAGGAACACGAAGCTATTAGAAACAATAAGAACTGGCAAAAGAAAAGCTGGGAAAGGTGCCCTGCAAGGTCATGCTCCTGCGCAACATCGGAGCTGCCATACCTGCATTCTGCGGCATTCTGAGTGGTCGAGTTGCGGTTCAATGAACCTTTTGCAGCGTGTGTCAGCTGCCTATGCGCTATGTGCAGGGAGTAGGTGACAGCCTTGACAGTGATAGATTCTTGGTTAAAACACCAAAATAATCCAAAATATCAGAAGCTAAATGGATGTCTTCGGCTCGAGGCATATCCAATGAAAACAATCAGCGCAATGACTTCAATGGGGCCAATCCTTAGTTCTTCGCACTAACTGTTCTTCGCAATCAATGTGTACTCGTGTTCAGACTGAACGGCCACGTCTGGGTCCCTCACGGCCATCCCATGACGACCACGATGAACCAGGTCAATGCAAAAATCACCTGCAGTCAGATTCGGGTCGGTCGGAGTCAGTATGTCTTTGAAGCTACTAGGTGTGGGCCATCGCTATTAGATTGGAGGCCATTGTCATTATATAATTACTACTAGCGGCAAGAAGCTAGGTTGGAGGCTATTGCTACTACGGTAGTAACAAGGACGCTGCGCACGGTGGAGGCCATCGCTATGCGCACGCGCACGCGCACGGCTCTAAGGATCCAACAATGAGCGTGGATAGCACGACCAGGGAGGACAGCTTGCTGTCTTTTGTGAAGAGCTGGGCGAAACAAGCGAAGACGTTCGGCCCAAACGTATTTGATTCTGAAAAGAAAACGATCCAGGCACGATCAACCCAAGAAATACTGTGCATGTTCACCCTTGGTAAGACAAACCCTTGACTTAGTGTTTCTTTCTGCAGTTGCGACATCACAGGCTCGCGCCAGCATTCCCAACAATGCCAATGCTACGACGATGACCTCGACTCAAGCCGTGCAAAGGTACCGCTGGACATGCTAGAGTTTCGCTCTGAGACTTTGCTACTTTTCCAATCGACCGAACAGTCAAAAGTCACCAGCAATGCTTCTGAGATATGCTCTGGGATGTTCTGGGTGTGTATTCACTAGGCATCTGTGTCTTCTCTTTTGACTAAGCTACTTTAGAGCATGACCTAGGCATTCCTGCACCAGGATGGGCGACTCTACAAAACTCAGCCGCTGGCAATGGTCACCTTGGCTTTTGTCCAGAAGTCAACATTCTGATCTAGAGTCTAGAGCTCTCCTGCCTGATGTGATTAATTAAGTACCAAAACTGTTTATATAGAATCTAGAATGATGTTGAACTTGGACTCCATTCTCATGGCTCATGCACACAAAAAAGGATTCAGAAAGGTCGCAATGGTCGATTGGATGAGGGCAGATTGTGCCTGGCAGCAAATATTGAAGCCGGGGGAAACTCAGCAACAAGACATTGCCCAGGGCCCAGCCTCTGCTCTCACCCAGATGCTGGATGTGTGCCATGCCTTGAGCAAAATGCAAAATCTTTGGAACGTCAGGAGTCACTTGAAGCCCATGTCTGTGCACCATCTCTCGGATGTTTAGCCCAAGGCCCCCTTCGCGTAGATGGAAGCTTCCAAGTTGAAATCGTGAAGGTACCTCGTTTCAGTCGAGTTACAAGCAGCAAATTGCACGGGGTGGAAGGACACTGATCCCAGAGCTTCTTGTACTCAATAGTAGACCTAGGTTCGGGCAGTGTCCTTGGCACCTGGATTTCAGGCAGTCGTGCAGTTCCGGGTTTCCAGACGCGCTGTCAGCATAATGATGGACATCCACTGAAATGGGCATGTACGAAGCCTTCACCTCAAAACACCAGTTGACGTATGTCCAGCTATGTCCAGCTTGTTTGCTATCAAATGATTTGATCCAGATTCAACAGTTCCCGACTTCTCCATCACGGATCCAAAGAAAGTCCTGCAGGAACTGCGGAAGCTTGTCTCATCTGAGCTTTGGCAAGGTCTATGGCTTCAGAGCATTCATTGTCTGCACCGTCAGTCATCTCCAATTACAAAAATAGGTTGCATTGACAGTGCAGGATCTTACATGCAGGAAATGCTATGTTTGATAGCTCATCAACCTAGCTGCCTAGCTCATGTCATGAAACCTTCCATCTTGACCGGCCTTCGTACTGTGCATTCCGGTGAGAGAGGACTCGGCAAAACCGGGAATTTCGCAACCCAAACCGTTCGCTCATGGCAAATCGCACTCAGCACGGCACAGAAGCAAATGGAATGATCAACCTGAGACCATTGCTCTTAGGTTGGAGATCTGGAAGCGATTCCGCTCAGCTGGACCATCAAACGAATCAACTGGACCACTGCGGATCGCTCAGCTGGGCCCGCCAACGTCTTGAATTGGCTCTCTATAATAGGAAAGCGATCACCACCTTGGTGGGCGTGATTCCTTTTGTCATTCTTGGCCCCGGAGGCGTAGGCCGGAGTAAGGAGGCAAGCTAACAAGTAGGGAGTAGCTACTAGCAAACAAGTAGCTACTACCGATCGGATGAAGAAGGGGTCAGGCTTCTTGAAGGAAAGGACAGGGGGAGTTTCCTTCAAGAAGCCTGAGCCTTGATGATTTGATGCCTAGATTTTGGGGGAAACCTTAAGTAGGAAAGCTTGAACTGCAATGAGGCGTTCAAACTCACACGCAGCTTCCAAAAGATACACGTTTGAACTTGTAGCTTTAACCTTTATATCAAAGGTCTGCCTGCCTTAAAACAGCATGTATAAAGGAGGATGTTAGGGCCTTCCATGCTTTCTAGCCAAGAGAATCGTCATGTTCGCTGGCAAAGGAGCAGCGGTGGCTTTAGCTTGATGAACAACAATCAGAGCCAACAACCCACTCTACTAAATCCTCATCAATCAACTCATCCTCACAGGGTAGAATCATTGTCCATTCAGCGCTCTGCCCAACCCAACTTGGACACCTCACGGGCCAACAAATAAGTTCGGAAATCCTCAATCCAACACCTGGCAAGCTTGTGAATGCTGCTTCTGAGAACTGCTTGCATGGGCCCGATCTGGCCCGACCTTTTCATTGCCACACGAAGCTCCTTTGGGAAGCTGGTGCAGAAACTGTACCTGGATGCTGCTGTTTCCATGTTCTTCTTCAAACGTCTCAGCAGTGTGTTTCATCAGAACATATCAAGGAAGCGGACATGTTGCGTTGTGCCCATGGCTGACTCACCTAGCGAGCTTCAGCACTGAAGGGCGATTGAACCATTCCAAGGATTCTCTGCCTGGTGCATGTCTAAAAAAGCCCAGCCATTTTCCAGGTCGACCTCGGTGTTGCAATTTTGGAGCCCAAGGCTGAGGAGAGCAGGCTGAGCTGATGAGCCTCTCCCAGAAGGAGTGAAGTGGCAGTGACTGAAATTCCAAAGACCGCATCGACGGTTGCTCGGTTTGCTGGCCTGGGAGAACTTGGAGCTTCTTTGGGGACAGTCAAAGTTTTAAGGCAAAACGAGAAAACCCTGAGCTCATGACGCCACTGTCAATTCTGATGCACCTGAAGAGCCGCGCTCGAGCATGAGCTGCTGGAAACACAGCAGTTTTTACGTGTGTGAACTTGGTGCTCTTCGAGGGCGTGGCTGAGAACCTCAAGCAAACGGGGAGCTGCTTCCTGCAGAAGTGAAAGGACGACAAGAGGCCAGAAAAATGAGATAATGATATGTTTGTTAAGTTTTCCTAAAAATCTAGGAACCAATCATTAGTGCGAGCTCTTCTTCAAGGAAGCGTGAGCTATCCTGCTTCCAGTTGCTAGAAGCTAACTAGTTGTCCTCAGCTGACTCCTTTAATTAAGTAGGCACCTATTTGTTTATTTAAGGGTCGGCGTTTAAGAAACAAAAAACAGACACGTTTTGCTGCGAAAGATGCAAAGGCTTCAAAGATCCTCCGACTCTTCCGCCGAAGCATTCAGACCCGGAATCGTGAGGTTCGACACCTCAACCGAGCACAAGATGCATCAATCAAACAGCTAAAGAAACAGCTTTAAAAATATTTAAGAATAACAACCAAAAAAACAATATACATATATTTACAGCTAAAGAGAAAAAGAAATCTGGACTGCCTTCTTCCATTGGTCACCCGGCCTGACACCACATCTGAACAGCTCGGATGAAGCAAATCTGATGTTCGGATAAACACTTCTCCAAGGCGTCCACATCTTGCAGGACCAACTGCTGCAGAAGCATACATCCTTTAAAATAGAAAAATATTGGCAAAGAAACGCATCAAAAAAAGCACTAAAGCGGAACGTCAACACAAACAGTGGTTTGATTGGAATCTGAGCGGTTCTTCCTGGAAGCCGCAGGTGGCAGATGCATCGTTCCGATCAACGGTGCCCAAGATCTGCACAAATTTGGTCGATGAAATGTTGTCGAGCTCTTAGTAACAAGTGCATCGCTACTC